AAGAAGTAAGATACATTTTCCACGTTGTGATATCTTCTCCCATTGATATATCGAAACTGTTCCATGAAACTGAGATCATCATCTCCACGTTCTCGAGTTTGTGGTGTGCACGGATTCATGATAAACACACAAACAAACAAGCAAGGAGGGTTATATAAAGTTGGGTTATATGATTCGATGGAGCCGTGTCGAGCTATACATAGAAAAGGAAGAAAGATTGCCTAAGAAAAAAAAAAAAAAGGCGAGCGAAGGGGAGATGCACAGAGGCATTTAAATTTAAATTCGACGGGGAAAATGAAGACGGGACGGCGCACGAACGTTCCACCAAGATCGAATTAAAAATATCGCTGTTTTTATTTTTTGGTCAACAAGAAAGTATGTAGTAATGTGATACAGTATATACAAATTGAGAAAAAAAGTTTTTCTTAAATTTATTATTATTTTATTATTATTATTAAAATTTTTAATTTGAATTTTTTTAATTTTTTTTTTTTGTTTGTTTCCTTTTACTGGTCATATACGACCGCCACTTGTGGGCCAAGCAAATAATGGTGCAGTTGGTCGACAGAATGGGTTCGCGAAAAAAAATTTCTCTTCCGAGATGCATTCCGCTCAATTGCGACTCGGAAAAACGTATGCAATGCCGAACTTAAAGAAGCGAAACTCGTATGGATATGATTAGCGTTAGTTGAGAGACCTTTACTATACCCAAGTTGGATGGATGAAAATTAGCTACATAGGAATTCACGTACATGTATGCATCCTGCATGCAGGATTACGTATAAAATGAAACAGGAATGACAATTTTTGGAAAATGGTCGACTTTTGCCAAATTTCTTACGTTATGTTTTATACATGTTTTATGACAGGGAAAGTAAAGAGGAAGAAGCAATGGAATAAATAAATAAATAATTTCCTTTTAAAAGCATGATATTTTCATATATTGTAACCGTATTTCTCGTCTGCCCTCTTCTTATGGAGCTTTTTGCCGATCAAATCTCGAAGAAGATGCAGACCGTATACGACAAAATAAAATACGATAAAGCCAATGAGGAACAGAATATATCGGATCGCCACCATTGACGGTGAGCCTAGAATTTGATGTGGAAGATTGAGAAAACATTCCTTACAACAACACGTGACAAGTTCGCAAATCGATCGTCCTACCGTTTTTCCAATCCAAAAAATCGTAAACCCAAAGGCCCGAACTAGTTCGTTTTGAAGAATTTTTTTTATCTTGGTTAATAATAGCACGTATCAAGTGAGCGAACTAAAAAAACAAAAAAAAAAAAACATACACACCTTTCAAATACAACAAATGACTCCAGCATAAAGAAAATTGTTCCGAGACATGTTAGGAACACAAAGGATTTCTTCATGATTTGACGATTCAGAAATAATTCAATCATCATGGCCAAGAAATCTACTCCATGGACGGATATTGCCAACCACCAGATGTATGCTGGTGGGTGTGATTCAATCAGGGAACGTGAGAGCAGCGCCCAGTAGACAAACACTACAATGAAGCTTTGTGTGTGTGATAGGAATGAGAATCCGGATGCTCTCGAATCGTGAATAGGCTAATGTACAAAACTTACTGATAATGCACTATGGTGTGATATAATAACCAGAATAACCAATTGAGAAAGTTTGGTTGATTCTTAAAGGAAATTGGTTCATGTGGTTCTGGAGTCCGGCAATAGATTACGTTGTGAATGAAAGCCGCCTAGATAGAAAAAAATAAGGTTCAACATACAGAAAATCCAATCAACCATTACTACCACTTTCAACCAGTCAAGGTTATTTCACAGGATAACTCGACTACCAACCGTAAAGTACAGGGTCTGGCCGACAAAACTCAAGTTTGTAAAATAACAGAGGTAGCACTCTACGTCATTCGAGTATCCATAAATTCTTAGTGAGTTATCATACGAGTATTGCAAGATCCTTCCAATCAATACGATCCAAAAATAAACGGTCATCAGTCCACGGTATATAGCTAATCCATTTGAACTGATGAACCAAGATGTCACCGAGAGTCTCGGATTGAACTCTTTGTAATGAAAAATTCCCATGTTTTCCAAATGCTTTATTAGGAGGCTATTATTATTACTATTACTATTACTATTATTATTGTTGATGTTGTTTTATAGAAGAAAAAGGTGATAATATAGAAGAAAAAAAGAGGTGGTTATGTGGAAGAAAAAAGGTGGTTATGTGGAAGAAAAAATGGTAAAACAGACATGCCAAGATAAAATATGCGAAATGTGTGAAACAATGAGGAGAATGGAATGCACGAATGGTGTTAAGTGTACACAACCGAGATTCACAAACAACACTTGAAACCACAAAATCCACAAGGGTCAATAGTGTAATCTCCTAATCGCAAATATATCCTTTGGCACTGCCAATTGAGAATCTTAATCCGGATTTTTGAAGGCATTAAACGTGCTTATGGAAAAAATTGGTTCAGAGCCTCAGGGTAGGATTCTGTATGAAAATGAGAAGCCATTTAGCTCATCGGATTTGATTCACAACTCATTGGACGTTGCGCACAAAAAAGAAGAAAAGCTTTTCCCCAATGCTAATTGATTTCGACATTGAGAGACGAATAAGGAAACAAAAAAAAAGCAGCATTTCAAAAATTCAAGTGCCAACCGGTTCCAGGATTATCTGCATCAGTCACGACCACATTACAAACATCGATATCTCGTGATCGCGATTCGTGACCACAAGTAGCCGTTTGCTTAGACTCCATAAAATCTTATCAAGTTTATGAATCCACCACATCACATCTCATATTTTCATAATAAAAAAAAAAAAGCAGTCATGTTCAATATGGTTTCACCGAAAATATGATTCCAGGTTATGGGTATTTACCTCGAAGCGACACTACCAAAAGATCCCTTATTTATTTGTGTCAAAAGTAATTCGAAAAGCGAATAAGGACACATGAAATTTATTAAGGATCAAGTAGTAAAAAGTAAAGGTTGGAAATGATGATCGAATTATTTATATGAAAACTGCGATAAATAATAATTATTATTCTTTCCTCTCTTGGAAAATGTGACGACATGTGGCGCCTCGACGCATTGAATGCCCGACGATTGATATGGATTACATATGCATATGTTTTCAACGAGTGTCGTCCTATACAAGTTTTTATCAAACGTCTCTACATGACCACCACGGGTTGGACAAAGCCATGCGAAGATATGCGGGTGAAATTGCGCAAATGAATCATCGCTTTCACTGCCAATCATAATTACTTGTGGCTTTGATGCCTAAGCCTCCAGCATGACAGGTTATCCATAAAGTAAAGGAATCGTTTGTCTTTGGTCTCCTTTACTTGTTTTTTTAAAACAAATATATTAAGAATTAATTAATTGTATTGTTTGCTTATGTCAGTCGGGGAGTTTCGAAATGTGGCGCATGAAATTTTCCGAAAACCAGTTTCTTATGTTTAAAGCCACCAGGGTATAAGCAATGCCGAATGAATGCAAATTTGCTGCATTGAATGTGTTTGGTGTGTCTCATCATTATCGTGAATGTTGCATTCGGCGGAGGAATAATCGGTTGTCTTTTTTTCTCTTTGACAATGCTGCCAAAATTTTTAACGTCACGGCGATGAGATCAAAATCATTTTGAAATAAAAAATAGAGATAAATAAATAAAAAAGCAATACAATAATTCCAACTTTTAATCTGAAGTCTTTGATAAAGTATCGAATTGATCCGTTACGTTTAACGGAAACCTTAGAAAAAACCCTTGCAGACCTCATAATGAAGACTCGCAACGCCTACAGCGCGAAACAAAACGGTTTCATGTTGTTATGGAACCACCGATATCTCGTGATGCTCATTTTCATCGCGACATACATCTCGCTTGAATTGTTTTACAGTATTAGGGAAGATGTAAATTCTTTTTGTCGAAAAGTATGCAGACTCTTTCTGATTTAATTTCTTGTGCAATTTCTACCACCATCAACTGACAACCTCAAATCGACGAATAGATCCCGACACGCATGGGCTCTGATCTTGATCGACAACTCACAACGATCCCTCTCTTTACGACCACCTACACCAGAAATCACTACCATCACTATCATCACTACCACAAAACTCCTCCTCAGGGTAATCTCAAAGATTTCAACTACCCCTCACCTCTAAATGATTCTCAACCAAACCTTAAATTCTGCTCCGACTCCGACAAATGTAAATTCCTCTTTCCCTATCAACCGTCGTCCTACAAAAGTTCAAAATCCATTCAGATTCAGTTCTTCACTTACGTGAATCTCGCTCAAATACTGAACCTCACGGTGGTATTACCATCAAATGTTGGTGAGGGCAGTAAATCTTTACTATTTCATTCGTGCGGAATTATTCAATCCAAGAATCGCGAAGAAGGAATAGATAAAATTGATGACGACGATGATGAAGATGATGGTGACGACAAAAAGGAGTATAACGCATCCGTTCTAAAAAAGTTATTCCCGAACGTACGGTTCATAGGACAACACGAATTTAGACTGTGGATGAACTCGAGAATTCGCAAACCAAGCATAATTCACGAGTTCATTGCCATTTGGGGTAGTAAGGTGGAAAGTGTCGAGGTGTTGAATAAGGATCATCCGGATTTTTTTATCCACGAGTGGTCTGAGAAACTCGATTTTGCTCTTTTCGGTAAAAACCGCGTGAAAGATCGCGATGGCATCAATGATCATGAACGAGTGACATTCAAGAAAATAAATTTGGGGTTAAAAAGCCTTTCATCAAAAAAATCCGTTAAACGGACAACGCAATTTTTACTGGACGAGCTGAAAAACAATGATGCCGAAGTATTATTGCTGGCCCATGACTTGAAATTCGATGAGTTTACCAATGCCTTTTCGGCCATCAAAGACTCGAAAGATTACGTGTCAGTGGAAAAGATCGACGAGATCTGCAATAAAGGAAATTTGCAGAAACAATAAAAAAAAATTTTTGTATGATAGAAGACCAATGAGATACTGAGGTCGCATAGTACAAGCATAATACAAAGGCAAAGTTGGCGTAGTTGCCAGAATCGTATATTACAAAATTGCGTACATAACACATATGGAGAGTCCCTTATTCTATACTAATGCATATTGTATATTCTGGTTATATGAGATTCATATTGTATATTCTGGTTATATGAGATTCATATTTGTTTCTAAAAGTGGATTTCAATGGCTTGCTTGTACCTCCCTTCACACCCCATCATTCCTTCGAATAATGTGATAACGGTTCTTTTTTTTTTGTTTTTGGTGAATCTAACAGATCACACAATTCTTCTTTTGTCTTAAGCATTCTTCTCCTCCCTCCATCAACAAGTACTTCACCCCACCCTTAGATTTGTCCACATGCTGTTCTTCGCAAGCCACCAACAACAATTCAGCCTTTATGGTGATGGTTTTCAGTTTTCCCATGACGTAGGGAATCCCAGAAACCTTGTCACTTGCTTTATTTCTACCCACGAACCCTGCCGTTGACGTCAACCTCTTGTTTTTTGAACGCAACGGCGCCGACCACCATCCCTTGGTTGATATGCATCCGTCCACCGGCGTAATCAATCGCCCGTGGGTCACATAGCACGCTTTGGTGTAAGGACTCCTCGAGTGACAATCGTAAATGTAGATTCTTGCTTCCTTCTCCTCGGAATCCACCCCCCAACCCAAATACTGTATCGAATTGTTTACCGGTCGTTGTTTCCAGATCCCACCACCGCATAAGATCAACCCTTCTAGATTTACATGTTTTGGTCCAATGGTTCCCTTGGGTTGCGTAGAATCCACGAAGAACGTTGATATGAGGGTTTCTCCGCTCAGGCTTTTGAATGTGAAATCGAATACATAGCGGGTTTCCGACAATTCCAGGAGATCATATCTTGACATGTATACCTAGAGACGAATGAATGAATGAATGAATGAATGATCAGACCAACCAACTTTCAAATTTGAAATTGGTTCATGGACATACCAATAGACGTTTCCTTTGATTAGAAAAAACCTCGGAAAATCGATCAACTATTATTTCTCGGATTCGTTGGTTAAAATACTTTGATATCACCATAAATCTACAGAGTTCCCGAGTTGGCAAGTATGCCATCACCTCGAGTAATGCTTCATGAGACAGCTCTAACATTTTGTTACAATCACTTTGTCGAAAACGAAAAAAATATTTATTGAAGATTTTATTGAGAGAAAGAATGCGAAAAATGTTTTTTTTTTTTTTTTTTGTTTTTCCTTAAAGATCTTTCTAAAAGTGATTACGGACGGAGTTGAACAAATTAATTATTAAAGGAAACCATTTGGCAAATTTTCAACATATTTATACGTCTCATTCGCTGACATATACGGTCCTAACTATTTTTCTACCAAGGATTTTTTTTTATTTTTGGAAATGAAGCACGACAATACATAATAAAAGAGTCACATATATTTACCTTCGTGTATGATACATACATAATGTATACAATATCCGTACATATAGAAGTGTACCAGATATTGTAAAACAAACATCTGGCATGCGGACTTCCGGCTTCTTGTTTTCTCAAAAAACTGCTTATCCTATTTTTCGTCTATCCTTTTTACATGCATGCATGTAGTTCTGGAGTTTGAATTGATATTTACTTAATATAGCGCGTGTTACTATATTTAACATTTGAATGAATTTGCTTTTCGCACCAATACTTTTTCAATCCTTCTTTTTGTGTTCCTTTTCAAGGATAGCTACGTAAGTCGGAATTTTACAGAAAAGAAAAAAAAAAACATACTGTATATGCGAATATCAAAGATTATCGTCAAGCAAAAATTTGAAATTAGAATAATCCTATTTTTTATTTTTAACTATTATTATTATTTTGGCAAACTTGAATTCTGCACCTATTGGTTGTTTCAAGGGACCAGATAGGCAGCTCAATGAATAAAACTAGTGAGGAGTTAGCTGATTCACTATGAAATTCTGGACTCAACATTCCGCACTCTTAACCCCAATCCTTTCTCATCAACTTAACCTTCTTCCGTGGAACGAATGCATCCTGTGTGAGATATTCGACGGTCGTATTGGATAATTGACGAAAAAAAATAAGTTGTACGCGCAATTACTGTATGTTAATGATGTTAATGAATTGCATGGTTTGGTTGAAATTAATTAATAATTAATTCGTGTGTGATCCTCTTTTACAAAATAAGGGAAATCGTCAAAGATATTCATTTCCCTGAAGAAATTTCTTCACAATGAAATAACGGATGCGGCATGTTGACGGACGCCACACCCATATTATATTAACGTGGCTTGGCGATTCCACGCCGCTATATTATCGAACATAAAAAGAACAATCATGAAATTCCTCGTTATAGGAAACAAGGAAATTTCCATGCATCACTCACTATAAAATTCCCAACGTCTCATGAACGTCTGTAAAATAAGGTGAAACCTAATTTAAACCACAAGATCATTAATCCATAAGACTTTGTTCTTCTTTAAGAGTCATTATGCGCAGAGTTTCTACCACGTGACAGATGAATCCGGCGCCACCAAAACTCTCAAAATAACATTTGCGGCGATGCTCAAAATTGAAATGCAGTATTAAAATACTGTAAGAATAATATCATTCCATAAAAATAACTATCGACTTGGCACCAAGCAAATTTTTATTATACTAGATCAATACCATTCTTTAATAATTGAATTGAATTGGAACGTATGCACAGTATTGTACATGATATTATGCGCAATTTTTTCGTTTAATTTATAACTTTACTTTTAATTTACTGTATACACACTGTATAACATATCGTAAATTAAATGACGATCTCAAAAAATAAAGATGTCATAGTTTCTTGTGATAATTTTTATTTTAAATTTTGTTATTCAATATATTGTGTATACTGTATATAGTATATTATTTAATAAATGATACAAAGTTTTTATTACTATTTCTTAAAAAAAAATTTTTTAACCAGGTTTTTATATAATATTGTCGAAAACTACAGTATATGAATTTTTAAATAAAATTTTTGGAAAAAAATATATTAAAAAAATAAAAAAAAAATTTTTTTATGAATTTATAAAAAAATTATTAAAAAAATTATTTTATAATTCCATTGATACTTGTTTAATAAATTCAAATCATAGTTAATTATTTAAAAAATTTTGAATTTTTTTGTATTAAATAATATACGTATATTAAATTTTTTAATTTTATAAACTAATATATTTAAATTATTTAATAAAGTAATAAAAAATCAATTTAAAACAATTATCAAATACAATAATAAATTGATTTATTTTTATAATAAAATATAATTGGAAACAATAAATTAAATTAAATCTTAAAAAATCAATTTTTATTTAATAATTAAACAATATTATTATTTTAAAAATTATATATATATATAATATACTTATAGAAGTGGCAAAAAAAAGCAACATTTTCTTTTTATTTGTAAAAAATTATTATAATTTTATATTTAATTTTTATCAAGTTTAATATTAAAAAAGCTATATATTTAAAATTTTATTAAATATTCTTAAAAAAAAAATTATAAAAAAATTTTATAACTTTATAAAATTATAAATAAAAAATAATTGATTTTTTTTTTAAAACCTATGGATCCATAGTATAGTGATTAATGCCTTACAGGTTAGATTATAAGATACTAGTTTAATTTCATATAAAGGTAATTGAATAAAATTAACATGATATCTGATATTATAATTAGTTATATGTTGTTTCTTATAAGAAATCATTTCATATGCTAATCCAATAAGCATTAAGATTATGATCTTTCTGTTAAGATATAATGATATGACAATTATCTAAATGATATTACAATAATTATTTAACGAAAAAAACTATAGAACCAACTATATATTTAAATATGTAGATTGGGTTATACTTCATTTTAATCAATTCTAAACCACTAATTCTTTTATTATTGACTATTAAATAAGGATGCTTTGAAAAAATATACTGAACCAACACTAATATCTTGTGTAACATAATTCTTTCTGGACAGTTTATGCATATAGGAGTTGTGTCTTGTTTGATATTTATACCCCTAGATTTGATAGCCTAAGTCAATCAGATTCAAAACTGGAGTGTCTATTAGGCGATTAAGAATTATAGGATCTTTAAGAAATTATATCTTATTTGATTATAAAAGTCTTTAAATTTGATAGTTTAAAATATACATGTGATATAAATTATTTTGCTGTTAATTTAATTGCCAAAATCTTCAAAAATAATTGCATCTGACTCAATTATTTTATATGTTTTAATAGTGACTCAATTAATTGTATCAAATAATAGTATTAAATTATATCAAGGATTTATCAATTTCTTTTTTTTTTTTTTTTTTTTTTTGGGGGGGCTAAGTGCGATACATGCACGGCTTTTATTAATCATTTACAGATTACATAGTCATTACATGAACAGTCTATTTAACTGACGCTACCCGCCCAATACTGCCCAGATACCAACTTTACACCTCGTGGGTGGGTCCATACTTGGGTTTTTGAAGATCAAATCATACCATGCACATGTTAATCTTCTGTAAGGCATTCTGTCAATCACATTGGTTTGGACCATATGGCCGTAGGGTTTTCCATACATCATATGTACTTCCTAATAAATGCTCCATGAGTTGTTCCTATGGTTGGCACAAACTACCAAATCTGGAGGCTCGGTTGCTGACCAAGTGGGACGCGACTCCTAAATCTCCCAGTAGACACTCCACAGGCTCACAGTTGGCTTACG